GTACTGATCACATTCATACATGAATATATTATGAGGCTGCAGCTTATCGTGTGAATCACTTTCGATGTATAGTTGATCCACTGAACATTTAAAACTTTTGAGGGCGGAATCAGAGATGTTGTTCAGTCATAGCTCCATAAGCTTCTAAGATCTTACAACAATAATAAAATCATAACATGAACAGGCGGTTTTGCATATTCTATCTCTCCTGAAAACTGTAAATGTTTGAAATTGGGGGCGTAAAACTCACCCTTAAAGCATGCTTTAAAACATCGCATTTTTGCCATAAAACTGCATCTTATCAGAAAATCGTCGGAAAATCACCAAAAAATGGACGAAAAATCACCACGCGGTGGCTGCTGGTGGTAGAATGCGGTGGCGGTGGGTGTATTTTGGCCGAGAGAAAAAAGAGAGAGTTTTAGGAGAGATTTTATTAGAGAGAAACGAGGCTGATGTTCATAATTATATGACAAAGGTTACGTGACATGTGTGGCTAGGAACGCGTCGTGTGGCGTGTTCTCGAACCGTGTGCCATGGGTCTTTGAATTTCGACATCTCGTGGAATTTTCGCAAACACTAGTTTGATGTCTATGATATTACAGTATGTAATATGTAAAAATATATTTCAAACGAGTCCCATAACTAGGTGAACAAAGTGTTTGAAGTATGATAAAGGTGGATTCCCGGTTGCTACGATTCGACTTTTTTTTTTTGCGAAAGTTCCAAAACTTCGTAAGAATGAAATTTCGGGAATTGAATCAAATACAAGACCTTTACTTGGTCCGTAAAATGTTTTCCTTTTTTGTCAAATGAGTTGCGTAGCTATTCCAATGAATCATTTGAAGATTTGTTAACGGAAAAGATGGTATTGTACAGTCCGATTTTCGAGTTTTTCGTGGAAAATAAGTTAGCTTTAGTATCAAGTACTAGATCGTAGTGCGATTGAGGAAAAATAGTTTGGAATTGAAAATTCTTCATTTAAGGCACCTAAATAAGCGATTTAAGTTTCGCTAATTGTGTCGTTAGGCGGCTAATGTGTACGTTTTCTTCGAAAGCTCATAACTTTTGCATACGAACTCCGTTTTCTACGTTCTTTATATCCATGGAATCGTACTTACCTGTACTTTCTGATCAAAGTATTATTTGAACAAAATAACACCCAATACATATATATTTCAAATATGTGTATTCATTCATGTTTTATGGATCATGTCAAGTATTTGTTAATCCAAAATTTCACAAATTGATGATTTAAATGATATTCCATATGCATTTTGAAGTATAAAACTGTACATGTATTATAATGAGTGGAATATGTTACATTATGTATATTACATTGCGTGTTCGTAGAAATTGTTATCGACGGACATTGACCTAATTTTCATGGTTGTCAGAACAGGCTTCGATTCCGATGGTGCAACTCGATCTGAAAACCTAGGCAGTGATGATCTAGATGGCGGTGCATAATGACAGAGGGTTCGTTGTAGATCTGGTGATTTTTGTTTTCCAGAGAGAGTTCCAGATCCAACATCATTGATACTAAAGATTAAGAGGGGGTGATGCAAACATGTGGCGATGGCGGCTCCATCTCTGACAACCCACACAACCTCAAAACCCTAGCCGACAAGTAGATCTCAAAACCTTAGCGCACATGTGGCGATGGCGACATCCTATTTGACCTCTCTCTTTCTCTCTCTATGTATCACATCAGCACATACACAAGGTGTGTATGTATGTTTTGTGTTTCTCTGCTCTGAATGGGAAAAAGAACGAGGAAAACAGATGGTTCATTAGTGACTTAAGGACCGCTGGGAAAAAAAATGAGGGAAGAAGGGTTGTTGGCGATATTTATGATACAAAAAGAAGGGGTAAATTATACGAATGGTCCCTATGGTTTAGGGTAATATGCGTGCTTGGCCCCTAACAACTTTTTTTTTAACTCAGACCATCCCTACTTTATAATTTTGTTGCACGCTTGGTCCTGTCCGCTCTAAAAAGAATAATTTACCCTCATCCATTTCTTTTCTTAATTAAAATTTTATTTTGTTAATTAATTTAATATTTATTAATTATTAAATAAATTAAATTATTAATATATAATTAGAAAAATGACCCATCCCACATCAATCCTCTTACAACTCCTTCCACTACCTCCGGTTACCATCTCCGGTAATAGATCCATCCCCGGCATATGCACCAATCATCATCTCCGGCTATAGATTAAATACCACATAATTCATTCAAAACACAACACAAAGCTACATAATCTTGAACAATAAATCTTAAAACACATCTAAAACCAACCTCTAACACATATCCAAAACCCAAATAAAACCTGAAAATCAAATCTTAAACAAAAATGTAACCTACGATGCAAATCCAAATCCAAATCCAAAATCAAAAGATGCAATTGAAATTAAAATCCAGTCAACTACCATATCTCTTAAGCGTCACCCATTTATTCGGTAGCAAAAGAACAAACCTTTGATTGTGAGGGGTTGAATGGTTTCCGACGTCGATGCTGCACTACCACCCACGATCGAAGGAACTCTCTAATTTCATGGGAAATTGAAACATTGCGCCTCTAGTGGTTTATCAATTTGTTGATACAAAACTCATAAGTAACCAAACCAAATCCTAGCCTATCATTCCTTTCTTTTCTCACCAGAAACATCTGTAGAAAACTCGTTGGTTTCCTATCTTATCTCGTCGGAACCGTAGCCGAAGCCTTGTTTAAGTTGTGATTCGAAATCTGAATCAATCTGCACTCTAGAGCTTATGTACAAGATCAGTTTTTGAAAGTCGATTTCAACAGGTCACTAAAGATTTCTAATTCGTTTCCTATATCAACTCCGACGATAATACTTCGTGAATCGGCGATGGGAAAATTAGGGAAGTAGGAGGGGACGGAGGCAACAAATGAAACAGAGGTCTCTTGATGTTTGGTTATAATAAGTGTATTTGATTTTGTTATATTTTTTAATTTATTTAATAATATTTGCAATAATGAAAAAAGAATTAACAAAATAAAATTAGTTCTAAGGGCAAAATAGTCTTTTTAATAGTGGTAGGGACCAAACATGCAACGAAAGTATAAAATAGGGACGGTCTGAATTAAAAAAAGTTGTTAGAGACCAAACATGAAGATTACCCTAAACCACACCACAAGGACCATCCGTGTAATTTACCCAAAAAGAAGTGATGGTCGATGGTGGTGGCTGGTGGTCCGACTGTGGTGATGGAATAGCGGTTGTGATGATTTTGTCTGTGAAAGATTTAGGGGAAAGAGGGTTTAAAAGCAAGGGGTTAGGATAAGGTGGGTGAGGTGGTGTATTTTATTTTCTATTTATAAATAATTGTAAGAAAAAAATAAATCAAAAAAAGATTAAAAAATTGTAGAAATGTCATTTCATTATATTGGAAGTGATGAAACATGCAAATTTAAACAAACGATGAATTATATGTTTACCTTTTAACCAAACAAGAGAAGGGAAGATGAATTAATTTACAAATAGAAAGAGTAAATATGAGTTTTAACACTTAAAGGAATGACCAATAATGTAATTTACCTTTATAAAAATTATGGGGCCACTATTATAAGTAATTTAATGCTAACTAATAAATTAATATAGCTAAATATAAATATAAATATAACTATAAATCCTACCTAATAAATGAAAGTTTTTTTTTGCCACATGTCATCACCTAATTCAATATGCCAAATGACATTTTTTTAATTTTTTCAATTTCATTTAAAACCACTTGACAAATTGTGGTTTTTTTGGCTTTGTTATTAAATTATAAAAAAATCTAATTTAAAAATATAATAAAGAAAATAAGGAAACTTAAATGTGTCCGTAAATTCTCACGTAATTTTTCTATTAATGTATTAAATTCAAATCAACTTTTTAATTGAAAAACATAATTTTCGGCCGATCCCATTTGAATTAACGATAATTTGTTTGCAGAAACCTTACAAAAGTTGGTTCATTCATGACTAATATTGATATTTTTTTCAAATTTAAGTTTTGTAAATTATTGAACATATAACGCTTAACAAAATATATTAATTTAAAAAAAAAAAAAAACCTACGTAATACACGAGTCTCACACCTAGTAAATAAATAAATTGATGAAAGTGAGAGCCGAGTAAGATGACGCCTAAGAATAGGGCGCAACTCGCAGACAACATTTGAACCGCGAAGGGCGCAACCGCACTGGGAAAGGCATTCTCCGGCGACGGCAAAAGACACTGGAAAGGAGATGTTTCCGGTGACGCTTCCTTCTCCGTTCTTAAACACCATATTAACTCCTTATTCCTACTCTTTAACAATGGGATTTCTTTGTTCCTTCTTGTCAATTATTTCTTCACTGTTTCTTTTTCTAGCTTGTTCGGTATTAGAAGGCTGAAAAGCGGGTAGGCCATGACCCTTCCTTGGCACTTAACGGCTCCGACACTGATTGGAACCAGTGCAATTGACAATCATCTAGCTGATCTACTGTTTTCCTTAGTCTACTTTTCTTATCTTCTTCGGTACTCTATAATATATCATTTTAATACACATTTTTCCAATAAATATATTTTATGAGGAAAAATCAATGATTTTAAAACATATGATCACATCAAAAGAAACCGTGATCGTAAAAGAACAAAAAAAAATTGAACAGCAAATTCATACAAGGTATGCTACATCCCCATGCATTGAAAAAAGTGCAGAGAATATGTACAGTAGCGTAGCTAAACACCAAAACTTGACTATATGCTAACTACAAGGCTACTAACTAGTAACTACAGAAGCTAGGCTGCTAGAAAAGGTAAAAGAAGGCATGCTAACACAGTAATTCTGGGAGTGTTTTCACAATTGTTTGTACAAATTCATTGGAGCCCTTCTCCCAGTTCCATAAGAGTGAATCTCCCATGTGTATAAATATAAACATATTGGATTGTATCTCATAATTAAGAATAACTGTAATTCACGTTGGTAACTTGAATCCACACCATGATATCATTTAGCCAGTTGTCATCGTGGTTGGAAGTTACCAGCATGAAAATCGAGCTCACTTTAATAGTTATCACTTTGTTAGCCATTTCATTCGCTATTTTACTTCACCGGTCCTGGAAGACCACATCACGGTTGCCTCCAGGACCTTGTGGTTTACCCTTGCTAGGGTACCTTCCATTTCTTGGCCCTAACTTGCACCTTGAATTCACCAAAATGGCTCAACGTTTTGGGCCCATTTTCAAACTCCAACTAGGAAGTAAGACCTACATCATTGTTAACTCCTCAGACCTTGCTAAAGTTGTCGTCAACGAGAATGATGATATCTTTGCCAACCGAGACCCTCCGGTGGCTGCCCTAATCCTCTCATATGGTGGAAAAGATATAACCTGGTCTGATAACAACCCATACTGGCGTAACATGCGTAAAGTGTGTTGGGAATAATAGACAATAAAATAAATTTCAGAACACAATATTTAACGTGGTTCGGTCTAATCTGACCTACGTCCACGGGCCAACGAGAGAGAGAGAGGATTTTATTATCACCAGAGAAAATTACAATCATACAAGGCTAAACTGCACTTGTAATCTGATCACTCAGTATAAGGTATCACTCGTGCTTTTGGCTGCCAAATTAAAGGCTCTGCACAAAAGGCTTCCTCACTATTTCTACTGGATATATAAGAGAAGTTACTTGACTCTTATATATGTTTTTGTTGAGTTTTGGTGCATCTTTTCCCTTCAACATATGCTTCCTTTTATAGTAGATGAAAAGGAATAAAGAGGAGAAATTAGTGGAGCAAATCAAGGAGTAATTTATGGAAAGAGGAGTGGGTGGGAGACAATGGTGAGTCTCCACCAATTAACTCAACAATCTCCCACTTGGAGACTTGAACCATACGGTCTTCTCTATCATCCAGCTCTTGCAACACACACACACACACTCTCTCTCTCTCTCTCTCATTATCTGCCATGCCTTCCTCCTCAAACTTCTGGAAGGCCAGTTGAAGTCATGCATAACTTCAACTTATCAGTGGTAACCACCTTGGTGAACATATCTGCTGGATTCTTCGTTCCAAGGATTTTCTTCAGATGTAGAGTTCCATTACTGATTAACTCTCGAATGAAATGGTACCTCATCTGAATGTGTTTCGTTCTACTGTGAAACACCGGATTCTTAGCTAGGTGAACTGCACTTTGGTTGTCACAATGCAGTACACAATCCTCCTGTTGAAATCCAAGTTCTAATAAGAACGTTTTCAACCATATAAGCTCCTTGGCCGCTTCTGCAATAGCCATGTATTCTACTTCTGTGGTTGAAAGAGCAACACTCTTTTGTAACCTGGACATCCAACTGATTGTCGTACCTCCTATTGTAAACACATAACCTGTTGTGCTTTTACCCGAATCCTCACATCCACCCAAATTTGCATCGGTGAACCCTTCTAAGACCACCCCCTTTATTTTGTAACATAGGGCAACCTCAACTGTTCCTTTCAAGTAGCGTAACAACCACTTTACTCCTTCCCAATGCTCTTTTCCTGGATTCGACATGAACCTGCTCACAACTCCCACTGCTTGAGCAATATCTGGTCTGGTGCAGACCATTGCATACATCAAGCTACCTACCGCAGATGCGTAGGGAACTTTGGCCATCTGTTCTTTGTCTTCTTCCGTCTTTGGGGATTGCTTCTTTGAGAGTTTCTGACTTCCCAAAGGCGTACTTCTTACTTTAGCATCTGCCATGCTGAACTTTTCTAAAACTTTCTTGATGTACTTAGATTGAGAAAGTTTTAGTGTACCGGTAACTCTGTCCCTGGCTACGCTCATGCCCAATATCTGCTTAGCAGCCCCTAAGTCCTTCATCTCGAACTCTCTGGACAACTGCTTCTTAAGCTTGTCGATCTCCTGCATGTCGGATCCAGCGATCAACATGTCATCAACATATAATAACAGGATGATGTAAGAGGAGTTGAATTTCTTCAAGTAGCAACAGTGATCCATCTCACATCTGTGATACCCACTCCTCTGCATGAAGCTATCAAACTTCAAGTACCACTGTCTTGGAGCTTGCTTCAATCCATACAGACTTTTCTTTAACTTGCACACCAGTTTTTCCTTGCCAACTGTTGGGAAACCCTCTGGTTGTGCCATGTAGATGTCTTCTTCCGGGTCACCATGAAGAAAAGCTGTTTTCATATCTAGCTGCTCTAGATGGAGATCTTCAGAGGCTACAATACCCAAGACCATTCTGATTGTAGTCATCTTCACAACTGGAGAGAATATCTCATTGTAATCAACACCCCTCTTCTGTTGGAAGCCTTTTACCACCAACCAGGCCTTGTATCTGTTACTGCCATCAATCTCATCTTTGACCCGAAACACCCATTTGTTCTGCAATACTTTCTTCCCTGCTGGGAGCTTGACCAAGGACCACGTATGGTTCTTGTCAAGTGAGCTCAACTCGTCTTCCATAGCCCTTTTCCACTATATGGAATCTTTCATCCTTAAGGCCTCTGGATAAGACTCAGGTTCACCATTCTCTGTCAGCAATAAGTAATTTGCTGAAGGAGAATACTTGTTTGGAGCCTTTCTTGGTCTAGTGGATCTCCTGACAGTAGGAGTTATAGTCCCTGCACCTTCTTCGACTTCTCTTCAAAACTACTGTCTTCTTCGCTCCCACTATCTCCAATATTATCAGAGCTCCCACTGCTTCCAGAACTTTCACCTATCTCCGGAGTACTGATAGGTCTTACTACGTCGTCTTCAGAGATTTCTTCAAACTCGACTTGACTCTTTGTTTTCTCTGGTTGCTTCTTTCTGCTAGAGCTTGCTGCAAGTTCATCCTTGTATAGAGCATTCTCGTTGAACACTACATCCCGACTTCTGATAACCTTCTTTGTCTCGTTATCCCAGAAGCGGTATCCCATGTCATCCAAGCCATAGCCTATAAAGGTACACTTTCTTGCCTTCGCTTCTAGCTTGTCTCTTTCAGAATCTTTCACCTTCACATATGAGACACAACCGAAAACTTTCAAGTGCCTGAGTGAAACCTCACGACCACTCCATTCTTCTTCCGGAATTTTGAACCCTAGGGGGACTGAGGGTCCTCTGTTGATTAGATATGCAGTTGTGTTGACCGAATCTGTCCAGAACATCTTGGGCAAGCCTGCATGTAGTCTCATGCTCTTCGCCCTTTCGTTTAACGTTCGGTTCATCCTCTCAGCAACTCCATTCTGCTGAGGTGTCTCCGGAACCATCTTCTGCATTCTGATTCCTTGGTCAGCACAGTAATCAACAAATTCTTTGCTACTGTATTCACCCCCATTATCAGATCTGAAACACTTGATCTTCAAGTTAGTTTCATTCTCAACAATAGCTTTCCATTTCTTGAAAGTACTGAAAACTTCAGACTTATGTTTCAAGAAATAAACCCAAACTTTCCTTATGCAGTCGTCAATGAAAGTAACATAATACCGGGATCCTCCCACTGAAGAAACTGTAGTGGGACCATAAACATCTGAATGTACTAGCTCCAACTTCCCGGACTTGGGTGGACGACCAGTCTTCACGAAAGTAACTTTCTTCTGTTTACCAAGAACACATGGCTCACAGAAATCAACTGTTACAGTCTTCAGATCTGGAATTCTTCCTTTGGAGGCTAGCATCTTCATTCCCTTCTCACTCATATGCCCAAGTCTTTGGTGCCATAGAGTAGATGCCCCAGCTTCTTCTACAGCATGTACTTCAGAGTCATCAGCTTCCACCATGTAAAGTGTACCCCGCTTCTGACCTCTAGCAATAACTAAGTTTCCCTTCGTTACCTTCCATTGCTGATCACCAAATGTAACATGGTGACCCTCGTTATCAAGCTGCCCCACTAATATCAACATTCTCTTTAGGTCTGGAATGAACTTCACATTCTTTAAAGTCCAATTCGTGCCTAAAGTTGTCTTGAGAACCACGTCTCCGACTCCCGTGATATCTAGACTCTTGTCATCAGCCAATCGAACATTTCCTTTGTAATGTCTAAAATTATGCATCACATCTTTGGAATGAGTGGCATGAAACGACGCACCAGAATCCATGATTCAGGATTCAATTGAGTTTTCAACCGCACAAATGAGCGCGTCACCTTCAAAATTTGCTGCCATATTTACTTCCTTCTTGCCTTTATCTGCCGAAGGCCTCGGGCACTGATTTCTGAAGTGACCTTTCTCCTTGCAGTTCCAACAGGTAATATCCGACCTGTTCTTTGACTGACCTCTCTTTCTCGACTTTGATCTTCCTCTACCGCCGCCTCCTCTATTGGACCTTCTTCCCCTGTCTTCAGTACTAAGAAGACTACTGGAAGATTCTCCGGCACTCCGTCTGCGTACATCCTCACCAAGGATTAAATCGCGAATACCTTCGAATGTTAGCTTAGCACCTCCGGTTGAGCTGCTAACTGCTGTCACCGTACCGGACCAACTTTCAGGCAAAGATGATAATAGTAGCAACGCCTCGACTTCATTCTCGAATCCAATATCAACCGAAATCAATCTTGAGATGATTGAGTTGAATTCATTCACATGATCTGTCACCGAGCCACCTTCCTTCATCTTTAGATTTACTAAGAAAAACCTTATTTGCTGCTGAAGGTTTTTCGTACATGTTAGATAGCTCCTTGATCAACCCGTGAGTAGTCTTTACATTGACAATATTGTAAGCTATATTTTTTGCCAATGATAATCTCACCACACCAAGTGCCTGCCGATCTAACAAGTCTCAATCCTCCTCCTTCATATCTTCGGGTTTCTCTCCGGACAGTGGTTCATGTAACTTCTTCTGGTAGAGATAATCTTCGATTTGCATTCTCCAGAAACCGAAATCGTGACCATCAAATTTGTCGATCTTAACCTTCCCATCTTCCGCCATAACTTCGAAAGAACAATATTGTATACTAGAATATAAATCTGTCGTACACAAAACGGTCAACCTTGTTTCTGATGTGGCCGATCAGACTAAGCTGCAACCACAGAGCATACTACAAGATATGACCTCCTTCAACCTTGGGCTCTGATACCAGTTGTTGGGAATAATAGACAATAAAATAAATTTCAGAACACAATATTTAACGTGGTTCGGTCTAATCTGACCTACGTCCACGGGCCAACGAGAGAGAGAGGATTTTATTATCACCAGAGAAAATTACAATCATACAAGGCTAAACTGCACTTGTAATCTGATCACTCACTCACTCGTGCTTTTGGCTGCCGAATTAAAGGCTCTGCACAAAAGGCTAAGTCCAAGCCTTTTGTGCAGAGCCTTTAATTCGGCAGCCAAAAGCACGAGTGATACCTTATACTGAGTGATCAGATTACAAGTGCATTTTAGCCTTGTATGATTGTAATTTTCTTTGGTGATAATAAAATCCTCTCTCTCGTTGGCCCGTGGACGTAGGTCAGATTAGACCGAACCACGTTAAATATTGTGTTCTGAAATTTATTTTATTGTCTATTATTCCCAACAAAGTGTTCGTGCATGAAGTATTGAGCAACAAGAACCTTGAAGCTTCAGGGTCTTTCCGGCGAGCTGGAGTGAGAAAAACCATCAAACATGTGTACAAAAGAATGGGAACGGAGGTAGACTTTGGTGGGATCGCGTTCTCTACGTCACTAACTGTGATAAGTAGCATGGTATGGGGGAAAAGTGTGGATGAAGAGGAAGAAAGCAGTAATAATCTATGGGCTGGATTCCGAGAAGTGATGTCAGGGGTAATGGATATTGTGGGAGAGGCGAACGTGTCGGACTTTTTTCCGGTGCTTACGAGATTCGATTTACAAGGAGTCCAGCGAAAAATGAAGCTGCAATTTGAGAAGTTCGATGCAATCCTCCAGAGGATAATCGATGAAAGAATGAGCATTAAACCCAAAGAGTCAACGGAGCAACATGGAAGAAAAGATTTCGTCCAGATTTTACTAGAGCTTAAACAACAAAATACCGAATCTTCATTTAGCCTTACGCAAATAAAAGCTTTTCTCGTGGTACCATTATCATATATCTATGTTATTGTTTTTGTTTGTTTATTTTTGTCTACTTATGACATCGATTCAAGGCCTTAACACCTTATTTTTGTTTTTGAAACAGGACTTTTTTATCGCAGGCACTGACACAACAACAGTAATGGCAGAATGGACAATGACAGAGGTATTAAAACATCCAGACGTATTGAAAAAGATACAAGAGGAACTAGAACAAGTTGTAGGAGAACACAACACTGTGGAAGAATCTCATCTTCCAAAACTACGTTACCTAGATGCAGTAATTAAGGAAACATTCCGTTTACACCCTGCACTTCCACTCTTGGTAGTTCGATCTCCGAGTAAATCGTGCACCGTTGATGGATACACAGTTCCAAAGGGTTCTAGTGTGTATTTGAATGTCTGGGCTATACATAGAGATCCTCAATATTGGGAGAATCCTTTAGAATTTGATCCAAATAGATTTCTAAACCTCGATGGAACAACAAAGTTTAATTATAATGGACTAAATACAAACTTTCTTGCTTTTGGATCTGGTAGAAGAAGGTGTCCTGGGCTTCCCTTGGGCGAGAAGATGCTCATGTATCTTTTGGCTTCATTGTTGCACTCGTTCAACTGGACTTTGCCTGATGAGAAAGAGCACGAGCTTCCCGATAAATTTGGCGTTGTCTTGAAGAAAGGAAATCCACTCATAGCTATTCCTTCTCAGAGGTTTGCACACAAAAATCTCTATATGGAATAGAAACACTTGGTTGCATGCATGGTTATTTCACTAAGTAGCTGAGACGTGTCCATTGGATTTATGTACGATGATATACATAAGAATAAGTTACCATAGCAAAGTCCAGCTACCTTTTATTATCATTTAATAAGCTGGGCCTGTCCATAGCCTTTTCATGCGGTGGGCAAATGGACTTATTATTCCCCTGTACTTGTATTGTACAATATAACCAAACATTAAATAAAAATTGAGAATTGATGTGTATATGTCAATTAGGAGATGATAAATGTATGTATATGTTTGCGAAGGAGTCGTCTTATCGTTATCCCGAACCTAGTTCTCTCCTTGACTTCCAACATCATTATACATATGAATAAGTTGTTACGAAATGGAATTGTTGAACTTGATTAATTATCACCCCTCGAAGAGTTGAAGTAAAAAAACCATCAATTATGCATTTGGTAATGGGTAATCTTGTTCGAAACATGCAAATGCACTTGCACACTCGAACAAGATTACCCATTAACAAATGCTTAATTGATGGTTTTTAGTATTTCTAAAGAGATAGAAGCAACTACCACAATGAAAAAAAAATCAAATTACTCCCTCTGCATCGTCTATTTTTACTATTCTATATATGATGGTCAATGTAATTAACAAATTACTTTCGGAAGTCTTCATCAAAAACTGTCATAAGATTAAAAAGTACGCTTGTTTGCCATATCACAACAAAAAGATCACATTTAGCGACAACATTTGTCGCCGCAATTGTTGCAAGAGGTCGTCGCTAAAGGTATTAGCGACGACATATTTTTGCAAATGGATCATCGCTATTGTGCCACATCTAATACTCATATATCGTCGTTATTAGTGCCAACGCTAAAAATGATTATCATCGCAAATGATGTTTTGGCTAATACTTTTCCGATATATCGGTCCGGCCAAGGTTGTCGTAGGTAGAACTCGTCGCAATGATTCATGTCGTTGCAAAAGGTGTTGTCACTACTAATGCTTTATTTTTTTATTATGAAATTAAATTTTATATAATTTATATTATAAAAATACATAAATAATAAAAATACAGAAATTATAATCTACGAGCATTACGTAAAGTATTGAATAATATATATATATATATATATATATATATATATATATATAATATAGTCCATAAACTATCTAATCAAATTCATAAACGATCTAATAAATCCATAATAACATCATATAAAAGGGTGTCTTTGAGTGTGTGCGAGGTGGGTGACCGCACATGACCCATGCCGTGGAAGGGCCCAATTTTACATATGATTAAGTTCACAGTCTAACAATCGACAATCCTGTAATCAAAAAAGACAAAAGCACGTATATTTTTCAATTCCAGTAGCTAACGCTATAATTAAAAATTACAACAACTCGCATTTTGAAAAATTAGGCTTAAAATTAGAAATTGCAGTTGAGCTAATGTAAATTTACAGTAAACAAGAGCTTACGTTTTTGTTCCAACTCCAAACTTCAAAATTCGTATCAACTGCAAAGCTCAAACGACATTTTTTTGTTTCTTGGTTTTCTGATTCCACTAGAGTCATGTGGTTTATATTACACTTTCGCTCTACTCTTTTTTTTTTTTTTTATTGTTAAATGTAATTAAACAAATAAGTATTTTACTATTCTTGATTTCTAAATTTGACGGCATCTCATTTTATATTATTATTTGTTGTGGTTGATTAAATGAGCGGATAAATCTCCAATTGTTGGCACAAATGTCAGGTTTTGTAGAAAAACATTAAGTAACATTAAAAAAACAAATTATTACTTAACAATTAAGTAACAAGCACATTAAGTAATTAACAATTTAACAAACTATCAAAGTATCAAATCAATTAAGTACTTAACAATTTAACGATTAAACAAACTATCAAATTATCAAATCAATTAAGTCCTTAAAAAATTAACAAACTATCAAAATATGAAATCAATTAAGTCCTTCACAATTTAAGTAATTAACAATTTAACTAACTTCTAAACTACCAAATTCATAACAAATGAATTAAGCACTTAACAAAAAAGCACAATACCAAAACTACCAAAATTCACTATAAAATACATCAAGTCCTTAATAATATAAATGCATTAAGCCCTTATCAAATTTGCAAAATACCAAGCTACAAAATTCTTGAAGAGTTTGATAAATACATGAGTTTGTTATGGTGCTTGTGACTGTGACTGTCAGTGAAAGGGTGCACTAGTACCCACTGCACAAGGAGATTAAGGTCTGATACATCTCACATGTCCCCTTTGAGCACCAAACACCTTCTTGAATTTGCTTGTCCAATCAATCATGCTCAGATCACCATCAGAGGAGGTTATGAACTGAGTTTGTAAAGCAACCTCACGAACTAAAACGATTTGTATTTTACAAAGATTATCATTATATTTTAAAAATAGATAATGCCAAAAACAAGAAACCACTTCACTTTTAAGTAAAAAAGACTTAGATATTACTCTCCGACTAATAGATCAACGAATTCCCTTGTTTATTGGCATGTCTATAGTGATATGATTCGAGTTTATTCAATTTTTTTAACATTACATAATATGTTATACTTGAATAAACATTACATAAGATGTTATACTTAAATAAACATTACTCTAACTTACTTCCTTAAAAAAGCATTGCTTTAGGTCCTCGTCCCTTCACGATTATTAATTACTTACTTCTTCTAACATTTTATATTTTCAGTAGATAGTTTTTTATGCTTATCTATTCAGAAATGGTCAACAATAACATTCTAATGTCGCGCATCCATACACGTGGGGGCTTGAGCCCTTGCTCCCTCCACGACTGCATATCCGTGCAAACATGTAAAATATTTTTTCACAAGATGTTTACTGTGAGAACAAACTTCAATGCGCGGAGAAGGTTTGAAAACTCAAACCTTGAATTAACTTTTAAGATCAATGTCTGCTTCTAATTAGTTGGTCCAGTCAAGTCTGGTAACAAGTCGAGACTTAAAGATGATATTTAAAATAGTGTTCAACGAAATATCTATGTAATGTAAAATGAGTATGAACAAAGTAAAGACAATATAAGAACAAGTTTAATGTAAGTGAAAGACATTTGACATGGAAGAGAATTTGAAAAGATGTGAAGAGAATAATTGCTATATCTTTCTTTTCTTGGTGTCTAAACATGAAACATCATCTCCTTATATAGTATAGGAGAGACAAGGTACAGACTGAGAACATTCATTACAAATATGACACCTAAAAGATTAATTGATTTGGTCCTAAGAATTGTTCTATCAACAAAGACAAAAAGCATTAAATGCTTGTACAGACGTAATCACATCAAAATACTAATCTTCAAAAACGACTTTATTTCGGAATAGGATAATCTTAAAATTTCATTATGGAACGCAAGGAACTGTTCCGGAACATGAGGAACTCATCCAGAGCATGAGGAATAGGTCCGGAACTGTTCCAGAATATTGTTGGAGCACAACATGGTTTTTGATGCATCAATTACACTCTCGTGTAAACCCAAAATCGGATGGGAAATTCTTGTGGCATTCAGAGACAGACCTGAATGCGATACTATGTTATGGAATACATGTTTTGGGAGGTGGTTAGACATTCCTATTGTAGATGGGGATCATTTATCTTCTACATTACATCTTTTGCCACAAAGATTTCACTAAACCTCGAAGTCAAGTAGAGGAAAGGATTTTGAGACTGGGGGTTAAGAGCTGTCTTTCGTTAAGAAAGAATTTTGTCTCATAATCGGCTTCCAGTATGGTGACTATTTTCCTGCTTATGCATCTGGCGCCGCCTTCCGTTCCCGTTCCTTTCCTATGTTCCTAAAGAATGTCTTGGTCAAATTAGACCATGTATTTAAGGTGATTAAACATTCACTTAATGAGTTATCGGACGAGCATGCAGTCTGTATATGTCTTCCGTACCTGTTAGAGAAGGATTTCAATGTGCGTCTAGCTAAATAACATATTACAGAAGAGTATTTCGCTTTGCTATCCAACCTTGATGAATTCAAAATATATAATTTCATCTATTTTATAATTATGGATTACAATTACTTATCGTTGTTATAAATAGGGGATGAATAGATTGCTTGGATTCTCTGAAAGTCGTGATTCACTATCAAATTGAAGTATTTCAATGGTACAGATCGAATACGGTTTGGGCTACAGTATCTGTATCTCCCTATGTAGTCAATCGAGTATCTATTTCTTGAAAGATACTTACGAGTTCATTGTAATACGTGGAAAGAGATCGTCCGTTTTGACGAGTAGCGAACGACCTCTGATTCAATTCAAACAGCTGCGTCTCGTCTGTTCCATCAGAGAACGTCTTGCTGACAACCTCCCAAATTTTCGTTGTTGTTTGAAGACGTGTAAAGCGGCGCATCAGAGGTGGACTCATCGAGTCGATCAACCAAATTTTCACCCGATGGTTGTCGATGATCCATGCTTCGATCTTCTTTTCGTCTGTCTTGGGTTTCGAAGTGCCCGGCGTGATGAAACCGGATTTGTTTCGAGCTCCGATTCGCATCTCCATTAACTGGGACCATAGCGGATAATTTGTCTCCTCAAGAATAACTCCGGATGGGAAAGCTGCATCTTAGACATTCTATACGATCACTTATTGTGGGTTCGATGACTCTCCCATGGTTACAAGATTTTTATGTTACGGATTTTCAATAGTATGAGCAAGGACACTCTGATACCATGTAAATCACAGAACTTGACAATGAGAAATTATATTCGAATTTTTTCAATGTATTTCAATGTACAGTAACAAGAATATATATACAACCAGCTTCCTGTAATACAAACTACAATCAAGGGCAATCAAGGACAATTAAGGAGAATACAATAAACTCTAAAAATACATCCAAGATTGACAGCCCATGCCAACACTCTCCCTCAAGCTGGAGATTGTATATCGGTAATGATGGGTTTTGAGCATCCTAACAACCTTAAGGTGCACATACAACCCTAGAAGCTTTG